AACATTAAAATCAAAACAAATGAATCATTAATTGTTAACTAAATTCCCATATGTCTAAATCTATAGATAAGTTCATAAAGTTTGAAAATAAATACAATTTTAGGAATTTACGTTATAATTGTGTTAGTTGTGTATCGAATATGTAAATTGCAATTGAATCTGTGGATTTTTCGAAAATTTTGAAAAAGTTAATATCAAAATAAATAAATGATTCAATTGTTAACTAAATTGTTTCTCTTTAGAAGTGTCTAAATGTCTAAATCTATAGATAAGTTCATAAAGTTTGAAAAAAATTACAATTTTTTAAAGTCAAAATTAGCAATTAGTATTGTTTCTTTTGCTTGTTAGTAAATGTCTTTCGGGTAACAGATATCAATTTGTGAATCTGCTGTTATCCTTAACACTATCATTGTCCATCGATTTGGCTGAAGGTACATATGTTGAACCTCATTCATTTCACTGTCTATCTGTGATGAACCTTGGCCCTATTGCTGCAAGCACTGAGAGGGCTCACAAAGGGCCTGGCTTGAGCAGGATATGAACCTGCGCCCTCTAGCTCATGGGTAGGGCGACTTAGGGCTATCAAAAATTGAGCCAACTTAATTATTGATCGAGCCGCGACTCATTGAATAATTGAAGAGCGCGCCGCGTTTTTGAATTGGTCATGTTAATTCCACCAATTATCGCTCCTATTTGAACACGCTGGAAACTCGAAAATTGGTGTTTAAACCAAATATACACATCACGTAAAAAAATAATTGATGAAAATTACCAACATAATTGGGTGGTATTTCCATGATCATTTGTTTAGTTTTAGTTTTTAAATGCTGATGTAGACTGTGGAGTGGAGCGAAAGTGATAACGTTTTGTTTCTGTAAAAGGAAGACATCATCATCATCAACATTGTGAAATGTTTGAAAATGTAGGGTAGGTGATGGTGATGAAAAGGGCGCCTCGAAACTAGGTCACAGCCTCCCTTTCTTTCCATCCATCCGTGACGTCACGAACGACAGCCGCGCGCTTGTGACGTTAAAGGCGTCCGATTCGCATCCCCTCACGCTTGCATAAGCGAAATCCCAGTTTTCATCCCTCTCCCGCATTATCCAACCCAATTACCCACCAAAGCTCACCCGATTGAAATACTTTACATACAAACGCACACGTGTTTCTGTTTCGCTCCGTTTTTTTAAATTTTTCTTCTGACAGTGTGCGCCGAAAACAAAGCAGCATCGATGACGACGCGCGGTTACGTCATTTCCGGGGATCGCGACAGGAAATAGGAAAGGAACGAAGAAAACAATAAAAAAAAACAAACGATTTAAATCCGTGCGCGTCAGAGTCATCACATTCCGATGATAAATTATCTTGATTACGGAAAAAGACCGAATCTCTGCGAAAAACATGTTTTTGACTTGTGAACGAATAACAATATTGTCTACAATTTCAACTATAAACTTGACTCATCTACATAATGTAGATTACATTTATGTAGATGTTTCTTACAAACTTTCTTAAGTGATAAACTATAAAGTTTATACTTCAAAGTAGAACAAAAACAAAGATTCAACAAATACAATGAGAATCATTATATATTTTCTGAATTAATCGAAATCCTGACAGTTTAATCCTCATTCAACTTTGTCAAATTTGATTTTATTCTAGGAAATACAAAAATAATAATCTTTAATTGGAAAACAAACGAACGTTGGGTAATTGTTGAATGTTTTTGCTTTTAATTGTGTTAGTTATGTATCGAATATGCAAATTGCAATTGAATTTGTGGATTATTGTAATGAAATATTGACAATTTAAATGAATGTTATTTTTTAATTGATTTTTTCGAAAAATTTGAAAAAATTAAAATCAAAACAAATGAATTATTAATTGTTAACTAATTTTTTTTTTCTCTTTAGAAGTCTAAATCTATAGATAAGTACATAAAGTTTGAAAAAAATTACAATTTTAGGAATTTACGTTGTTGAAAACTGTATTGTTCATTCATTTGATACTGTCGGTATTTCAAATGTCGGGATTTTGATTCATACCGAAATTCTTGTATATTCATGGATCAATCGAACGCTTTTATCTGGGAATCTATTTGTGGCTAGGAAATATAGAATATAAAAGATTCAATGCGAACAACGCGCATTTATGAATTGGGTTTTCTGTGTCACACAAACACTAATATTCAACCGGGAATCAATACAAAACATTAACAATAGTTATCGATTCGGTTTCATGTAGAGCGGATCACAAAAAAAACACTGCACGGCCAACCGACAATTTAGTTACAAATTACCGTTGACGCACAAATATAAAAACTAACTCTGTCTTAGTTTAATTTTAAGTTTTAAGACTCCAGACATTTGGGATAATTACATAATTCAACAATAATTGTAAATTTGAGACTGTTACATTTCGAATGAAACAATTCTCAATATTTCAATTTCTAATGAAAATTAACGAAATTTTATGCTTTTTTTTACTATTTAGTGATTTTCTCGAAAATTATATCAGATAAAATGGATACAAAAGATGCATAAGAAATCTAAATGTAACGTGTATTCAATTATTGCTGTGTAAAAGAAAAAACAAGAAAATTTGACGCAAAAATAAAAACCTATTGATTATACTGTTATAGTTCTGATATAGTTATTAATAAAAACAAAACGAGATGTTTGGTTTACTCGAACCAGAATTGGGTTTGTGATCAATCAAAGCGCGATTTGTTCGCGCCTCATTTGCATTCGGATAACACGGATTTTAGCGCTGAATTACTCTGTGCGCGCATAATTGAAGCGCCGGATCTCCCGCATTTACAATTCAAATAGTACGCGTTTAAATACACCCGACGTTTCAACTTACACAAAATATGTACAGTGAAACCTCGTTTAACGAACAAAATGAATTGTAAGAAAAATGATTCACTTAACGAGCAACGATTTGCATAACGAGTGATGATGAGAAGAGAAGTCTCGGATTGTGCGCCTTCTACATCATTTTAAAGCTTGTGTACACATATTATGTGTATATTTCAATATGTTTCAGTATACGAGTAAAATTTTGAAACGGATTTTAACTCGTTAAGCGAGGTTTCACTGTAGTTGAAACTATTATAATATTATGTAATTTTATTAAGATCGGTTTTCATATACATTAGTTATTTATATTTTAGCCTTTAAAAATTAGTAAATAATTGTTGGTTGAAAATAATCAAGCAACCAAAATTAAAAAAAAATAATTTCGAGAAATGTCATTTTAATGACATTATTTCAAAATTGATAGTTTTCAAGTTAATTATTCAAAATGTACTTACAATATTTGAATCTTCTACAATAATCAAAGATCTGCCACATTCTTCATTCACTTTTTCCTCAATCGATTCGAAGCACTAAAATGTAATTACGAAAAAAACGATTACAATTGACTGTGACAAAACGTCGATCGTCTTTTAATCAACAACGAGCGTTGTTGTTTAGCAACAAGTAATTCAATTAATTACCGCAGCTCGTCGCTGTTGAATACAGTTAATTTAGATTACCCTACCGACAAATATGTATTTAATATTATATAATTTTATGATATTTCAGATATTTTTATATAGAAATTGATGATTTTCCCAATAGCAAACAGTAGAGATTGAAAACGGTTTGTTTATTAATTTATTTACATAAAAACAAAAGGGATACTATTGTTGGTTGTATAATCAATGCGTCTAATTTTATGATATTTGAGATATTTTTTTATATAGAAATTGATGATTTTCCCAATAGCAAACAGTAAAGATTGAAAACGGTTTTTTTTTTATTTATTTACATAAAAACAAAAGGGATACTATTGTTGGTTGTATAATCAATGCGTCTTTGTGTCTAAATACATCCGTTTTCATCCACCCTTCCCCGTTAGGGGGGTTGCTTTAATAAAATATCATACGATTATGGCAAAGCAGGAAATTGTAATTGAATGTTATTGATCCGGAAAGTCGCCCCGTCGTAGGTAGTTAGTTAGTTAGTTTGATAGTCGTCATCCTCGTGGCAGCCGCAATATCCTATCCTTTCCCTCCTTCATTCGCAATCTAATCACAATTATATTCTGATCGAATCACCCAACAAATCCGACGTTTATTTGATTACCAATCAATAAAACGCAAAATCTATATTCAATTTAATATTATAGTTTCACATTTACCTATCAAGCTATAATATTATATCATTTTTTAATTCATTAATTATGAATTACGTTAATGAAATACACACGTGGCGATAGGGTGATCTAACCAATTTACGAATTTTCCTCAGCGCCGACGTGCGTTAATCGACGTAATTAAAAAAACACCATAACAACGCCATATTTTGTTGATAAAAAAAGCTATCGATGTTTTTTTTATTAGTGTAACAAATGTTCGCAAATTCAAGAATTTAACTGTTAATTAATGTTAATTAAAGAAAAAAATGTGAATTTGTATTGGTTCGTTGCTGCTACAAATTGGGTAAGTTTCAGTTTCGAATTGCGTAAAAATGATCTTTGATTATTGAATCATATTATTGCGGCGTTTTGGATTTACAGTGGACCAATCGTTTTTTGTTAAATTTAACAACTGACTAAATATGATTTTGTAAGTGAATGTTTTATTGGTCTCAACTGTTTCTTTATTTGATAATCGTAATGAATTTTAATGATATTATTACGAATTATCTTTAATTTATTTATTCATTTATTTTACTGTATTCAAGTAATTTATCAATAATTGTTGACAGTTGTTATTATTCGAATTGTTTTGTTTTTTTGTTTAGGCGTGCTTGATGATTATTTGCGTATGATATTTAATCATTTTATAAACGTATTCTAATATCGTCATCGGTAATTGCGTAATTGTATACAAAAACAGGTTTCATTCTATCTTATTATATAAGTTGAGTTAAATGTATGCATGTACTTTGAAGCGTTTTGAATCATTGGAAAACTATTTGTAAACATTTTTTTTTATTATTAATTTGTAGGTTGAAGGATGAGGATCATCATCGAGCAAGAACCGCTCGGTATGGCTCAGGATATAGTGTCCGCCGCGAATCTGCAGAGGTGGAGCGAGGTTGATCCTCCGTCACATTACATCACCGATTGCAGCTCGATCGGGGAGCCGCCGAAGCACACCAAGTCCCCGTTCCCTCACGACCCTGAGCTCAACCACAAGATCATCCTCTGGTAAGTTGATCGATGCTTAATGAACTCGTTCAACTGCATCACCTCTTTGTTGTTGTTGTTGTTCTTTTTTTGAAATTGAAACTATTTGCATCTCTCTGCAGGTCCGGGGACATTTCATCGTTGCAGATCGATGCCATTGTTAATGCCACCAATGAATCGATGACGGACAGCAATCCGGTCAGCGATCGGATATACGAGCGCGCTGGTCCCGGATTAAAGGAGGAGATCAGCCTCGAGGTCAGAGGTTAGTCCTCTTCGTTAAATTTCTTACTACATTACACCTACAAAAAAAAAAAAAACGATTCGTCGCAGTGGCGTGCTGCGATCCGTTCGTGAGGCCCTTCTTTCCGCGACTGACGACGATCGATGTACAAGGAAAATGCACACCTACATGCATACTAGTATAAGAGACAAGAAACCTGAAATGGTATCTTTGAATTATTAAAATCGCTGTAAAAATCCTGTTTCTCTTGTATCATCGCGTGTATTTATAAAATTTCTCATCCTTTTCTACTCGCAGAATGTCGGACAAGTGAGGTGAAGGTGACCCAAGGCCATGCACTGCCAGCACGGTTCATCGTGCACACCGTCGGCCCAAAGTACAACATCAAGTATCAAACTGCCGCAGAGAACTCTTTGCACACCTGCTACAGGTGAGATAACCAACACAAATCACAACAATTTTACAATAAGAAAATACCGCTGTTTTCTTCTATTTTCTTAATCCTCACAGTCGTGTTTCTTTCGCATTGATTGATATTCAGATACGCGTACACTATACTTCCCCATCAATAAATCACAACCCTCATCAATCATTTTACTGTGCATGCACACTCACACAATCGTTTGCTTTTATTTATTTTTCTTTCTCAATGTTTTTTCTTTGTTGTTCTTCCGTTACATCCATCCACTTTGACCCCATTTTTCCCACCCGACAAATAACAGCAAAAATCACTTATTTATTTGCCTTAATTCAAACATGTTTTATTACTTATTATTATTAGTATTTTTGCAAGATTCTTTAATTATCATTTCAATACGTATTATGTATTGTATTTCTTCAGTAATTTTCAAGAAATATGTTAAAATTACGTTTTCTTTCTTTATTATTGGTAATTTTATTTCGCACGTGATTATATTTATTTGCACTTAATCCAAACATGTTTTATTTATTTCTTCAGTAATTTTCAAGAAATATGTTAAAATTACGTTTTCTTCTTTATTGTTAGTAATTTTATTTCGCACGTGATTCTGCAATCTATTGTGCGTCGTATTATTTTGCTGGAATTTAAGTTATTTCTTTTTCTCGACCTCCAAAGTACACAATAATAAACCTTGTGTAATGTAATGACCCGCCGTGGAGAAGCAATTATAAGCAAAGCGTAACAAAGAGAATCATAAAGCGCGCTATAAATAATCACTACAAACCATTGAAATTCGTGTTTTGTAATCACGAATTCGTTCAAATTATTGTATTGTTAATCTAGTTCAGTGATTCCCAAAGTGGTCTATATCGACCCCCAGGGGTCTATGACAACCTGCATAGGGTCTACGTCAGCGAAAAAAAAATTTGGGGGTCCATGAAATGAAAATGGGGGTCTACAATAGTGGATCTCAACATACACTGATAGTACATTATTTATAAAAGTATAAAATTGTGTAAGTTGTAGGATGTAGGCATTCGCTTTGTGGTCGCAATACATTTTGAACTTGTAAAAACCTGCACATAACTGGTATATCAGTATCATCTTGTTACAAGTATACGCAGTCTCAGAATAAATTTCTTAATATTTATAAAGATGTCTCAATATAAATAATAAATTTACAAAAAAATCAGTATCATGTAAGTTTGGGGTCTACCCAAAACCGAAAAACATGGCAAGGGGTCTACGACACAAAAAAGTTTGGGAACCTCTGATCTACTTTAATCAAATTTGGTCAAAGTGAAGGCCTTTCGGAAACAGCAAATCTATTAGCTTCTTCAAATAATTAACAGTGAAGATATTCTTCGCGTTGGTAACGTGAGAAGTTCTATTTTTTTTTTCAAATATCTATTTATAATTGTTTACCTAATTACGTTTTCATATTTTACCTAAATTTAACAGAAATTTTATTTTTAGCCTAACATGACATAAAAGTGAATGCATAAAACGCATTTGTGTTTACGTGCAAGCAACAGTCTTGTAGGACGCCTGCCAACTCGAATTGGCTCTCGAGTGCTGTAGTAATTGACCGTGAACTAAATCTCTTCAGTTTATCCTACAAAAGAAGTAAAAGTGAATGGAAATAACCAATTGTTTGCTTTCAGGAACGTTCTTCAAAAAACGAAAGAATTGGGTCTACATTCGATAGCCATTTGCGTTATAAACTCAGTGAAAAGGAACTATCCCCCGGATGAAGGAGCCCACATTGCTTTACGTGAGTATTAGTATTAGATATAGACACATGCGCGTCTTCACCAGAAGCCGTATAATTAAAATCCAATTAGCAAACATACAGCAAAAATATAATTTACTTACATAAAAAGCGTGGTGAAATTACGTCCACGGTAAGTCCAATTTCAGTAATTTTAAACCGTACGTCATTCAAACAATTTCATTCGCAAAAAAAAATTAAATATTTGCATTTGCGCATACGGAAATTCCATGAAAATAAAGTGAAAATATTTCACAATTTTTACTATTATATGTTCATAATAGAAAATCTAAAAATAGTGGATTTATAAACGCAATTTCAAATTGCGAGCGAAATCGAAAACACACGCTTTGCGATTTTAATCGCATCTGTCGATTTTTGTTTTATTTCGTTCCATTGTTTCTGATTCCTTTCATGTATCACTATGTTATTATTTTTTTTAGAGTTCTGCGTAGATAATTGAATACAAGCCTACTCGAGATTTAAAATTACTCATCTCTAAAAATAATGCGCAATTCATAATAAAACAAATTTATTGTTGATGTAAAATAATATTCGTTCTGTTATTTTTCATGGAAATAACAAATTAATGGAATCAAATCCATGCAGTTATGATTTCAATTGTAAATATTTTTTTTTATTTGAAAATCAACATTGTTATCTATACATCATAGATAGTTTTAATCTTATGAACAAATATAGGATTGATTAGTCATTATTTGATATTTAAACAATGTTTTTATGTTTCTTTTGTTCTCGCGTTTCAGGTACAGTGAGACGTTTCTTGGAGCACCACGGCAGTTCATTAGACACTGTAGTGTTTTCGGTGCAGAACACGGATTTGGGTATCTATGAGGTCCTTTTGCCAATGTACTTCCCACGTTCCAAATCCGAGGAAGACGCCGCCCGTTGGCAACTGCCGAACGATGTCGGCGGCGCCGACGGAGAACCATTGATTCCCGACAGACAAATCCGTATTATAGACAATCCACAGCACAGTTTACATCGTAAGTATTAAATAAATGTCCTTTTTTCCTTCTAGTCTAGACAAGTATACTCCATGTCTTTAGATAACATCTATTTTTTTTTATTATTGAAGTTGTACCATTACTTGCAAAGATAATGCAAGTTTTTGCAAGATAAAATTAGAGTTTGGTGATGTAAACTTTTAATTAATATAACTTTTATTAACTACTCGCGTCGGTGTAAAAAGTACATCAATTTTCTAAGAAATGATACCACATTTATATGTATAAAATACACCGCGCGAGTAGTACATAGAAATTTCAGTGCGTGAATATGTTTTGAGTGAAGGAAATTTGCCAGAGTACAATTTTTAGCGTAATTTTTGGTTTTATATAATAACTTGCAAAATTGATTATGTTTTTGAGTAATTGGTATATTCTTCCTCTTCTTTCCACCATCTTCCTCATTTAGTTTGTGCCGCGCACTCACTATGAACTAAATGCGACATTTAACAGAGGGTAGAATTAGTATGTTAATTTGATACATATTAATTAATGATTAGTGTATGAAAGTAATTTAACTTTTGAGTTGATGTATGAAAGTGTTGCATTGGTGTACGTTTGGTTGCCTACATCACATGGGCGTTTTGAATGGGAAATTCTTATTTAACACTTATTATTCAAGCAAATAAACCAACATCTTCTGAACTTTGAGAAACTATTATTAATTACTAATCATTAATAATTAAACTAAATGTATATGCATTATTAATTAATGTATACATTTTTGATTATAATATTTCAAAATTAATTACTTGAAATTGTGTTATGAGTGCATTTTATATGTTTACTATTGCATTGGCCATGAATTCTTGAATGATTATAAAAATAGTTCATATCACAATGATGAAGCATATGTTCTATACATGTGAAATGTAATATGAAAACTCTATACATATGTAATATTTTAATTAGTATGAAAATGAATTGAATGAATGTTGCAACTATATCGAGGTGGTTTTTCAACATTCTTTGAAAACGTTTGTTCGTGCTCTTGCTGTTGCACACGCAACGTGTGTTTCAAATATTTAACGCAAATAATGCGAGCAGACTCGTGCGTTTTTCATGAGGAGGTATAACAAACTGGCATATGTTGTTACCTGACGATGAATAGGTGAAATGTGTGTTACATAAACGCGATGGATCGATGATTAGGGGGCGGAATTGAGATAGTCGCGGTGTGTACGGCCTTTTTTGGTGCATAGAAATTCAGTCGGGATCGATCCCAAGTCCCAACCAAAGTCGTCCTGCCTTCCATCAGCTGATGCCTTAAGTCTCTCTAATTTAGATACCAGCGAAAAAAATACATGTAAATGAAATTACGCATCCTTTTTTTCCCCCCGACGCTCGAGATAAGATCCCCATGTTGATGATGATCATCAGTAGTGGACGTGCTTGCGGCCGGTGAAGATGATAAATGCATCGTACGAGTACTCGTGTGAGTCACAGAAGGATCAGTCTAAACCCTTTTAATTTAACAAATCCTTCATATCCATCCTTGGAACGACTGCTTTAGTAGTTTTTGTTTGATGCTGCAATTGTAGCAGCAGCAGCGCTAGTAGTATTTATGGAAATTGGGTTATTCCGGCAATCGAACACACGGCATATTGAATAATTAATCCAGTTCACATTTTGTTTCAGCCGATGAGGAATCGATAGACTTATCGAGCCAACTGGACTCCTCGGTCAGTGTCGGCGATCATGCCTTCAGTCAAATGCAAGGCGATCTCGACCAGCAAAGGCTGCTCGGCGAGAGAACATACAATGATCCACTGGCTGATATTATGGTGAAGGAAATACAGCATCAAGAGAGGTAAGTTTCCATCACCACCCAAGTAAATACACACAAACACAACGCCTCTTACTCTAACACAAAGCTAAAATCCTTAAAAATAAATAGATTAACAACGTTATTGTCAGATTAAGGATTTAAATCCGTTTAGCGCAATTTGACGGTTATTGAGGGGGGATTAGCAGTTGAATTGCACCTGTCGAAATCTTTGTTTTTAAACCGTCTCGGTTAATCCCTTTCGTGGAATAGTTACAAAAAAAAAAACGTAGTAAGAATAAGCATGTGCCGTGTGAAAATTCCTCCTCCACCTTTTTAAAGCAAATATTGGTTTTAACTTAGTGAAAAAAATAAACATTCAATAACGAGAAAATTGTTAACAGTCGTTTCACGATACGCAACTAACTTGTTTATTTATCGATTTAAAACCAAAATCATTTCACATGAAACTAGATTAAATGTAATCTAAAAATATAGATTTTTAGGTATTTTCACCAACTGCATATTATAGGTCGTTGACATTTAATCCTTGCGCATCCTCATTTTTTTCAGTATATATATGAAAATAGATTGGTTTCAGAGAATTAAATCAATATCAATATAAAAAAATGGTTCATGAAAACTTTTTGTTTGTTAATTTCAATTATTAATTGCATTCATTTTTTTACTTTTTATGTATGTATGATATTGTTATATAAAGAAATAATGACGAAGGGCTGATGTCTGCGCTATTTGTCAACGCATACATAACAAATAGATATTTTTTTATATATAACTATATGTTGCCATTACGAATGTGAAAATATTTTTTGCATTCTAAAATTTAATCTCCTTTACACAATACAATGCGAAACATGAATTTAGTAACTTTATAAAATATGTTAAATGGTTCATGAAACTTTTTATGTATGTATGATATTGTTATATAAAGAAATAATGACGAAGGGCTGATGTCTGCGCTATTTGTTAACGCATACATAACAAATAGATTTTTTTTATATAACTATATGTTTCCATTACGAATGTGAAAATATTTTTTGCATTCTAAAATTTAATCTCCTTTACACAATACAATGCGAAACTTGAATTTAGTAACTTTATAAAATGTGTTAAATGGTTCATGAAAACTTTTTGTTAGTTAATTTCAATTATTGTTAAATGGTTCATGAAAACTTTTTGTTAGTTAATTTCAATTATTAATTGCATTCATTCTTGACTTTTTATGTATCTATGATATTGTTATATAAAGAAATAATGACGAAGGGCTGATGTCTGCGCAATTTGTTAACGCATACATAACAAATAGATTTTTTTTATATAACTATATGTTTCCATTACGAATGTGAAAATATTTTTTGCATTCTAAAATTTAATCTCCTTTACACAATACAATGCGAAACTTGAATTTAGTAACTTTATAAAATGTGTTAAATGGTTCATGAAAACTTTTTGTTAGTTAATTTCAATTATTAATTGCATTCATTTTTGACTTTTTATGTATGTATGATATTGTTATATAAAGAAATAATGACGAAGGGCTGATGTCTGCGCTATTTGTTAACGCATACATAACAAATAGTTTTTTTTTTATATATAACTATATGTTTCCATTACGAATGTGAAAATATTTTTTACATTTTAAAATTTAATCTACTTTACACAATACAATGCGAAACTTGAATTTAGTAACTTTATAAAATGTGTTAAATGGTTCATGAAAACTTTTTGTTAGTTAATTTCAATTATTAATTGCATTCATTTTTGACTTTTTATGTATGTATGATATTGTTATATAAAGAAATAATGACGAAGGGCTGATGTCTGCGCTATTTGTTAACGCATACATAACAAATAGATTTTTTTTTTATATAACTATATGTTTCCATTACGAATGTGAAAATATTTTTTGCATTCTAAAATTTAATCTCCTTTACACAATAGAATGCGAAACTTGAATTTAGTAACTTTATAAAATGTTTTAAATGGTTCATGAAAACTTTTTGTTAGTTAATTTCAATTATTAATTGCATTCATTTTTTATGTATGTATGATATTGTTATATAAAGAAATAATGACGAAGGGCTGATGTCTGCGCTATTTGTTAACGCATACATAACAAATAGATTTTTTTTATATATAACTATATGTTTCCATTACGAATGTGAAAATATTTTTTGCATTCTAAAATTTAATCTCCTTTACACAATACAATGCGAAACTTGAATTTAGTAACTTTATAAAATGTGTTAAATGAAAACTTTTTGTTAGTTAATTTCAATTATTAATTGCATTCATTTTTGACTTTTTATGTATGTATGTATGATATTGTTATATAAAGAAATAATGGCGAAGGGATGATGTCTGCGCTTGCCCTACATTTTCTTGTGTTAAAAACACACAAAAAAAAGGAATTCCAATTATTGAATAACTAAAGTTCGTTCGTTCGTATCAAACGTAAATTGCTGGTTTTTTTGCAATGCGATAGAAGAGGTTTCTAAAGATATGATCGAGTTGGTCGGATGCATCCGAGCGCATCGAATTTTCCTCTCACTCGTCCATCCATTCCGTCCCATATCATCGGTTGTTGCGATTACGTAAACGTTGTGATTAGGCATGGGAAACGCGTACCAAGACCACCGGAAATACAAAGTCGCAAGTCCAGAGCTTCATTACCACATTGGTTTATGTGGTCTGACTGATGGGACAACAACAGGTGGAGTAAACCAACCAACCTTTATCTCTCAGTATTCCGCTTTTGTTGCCAACTCGTCTCCATTGTCGAGACCAAAATTCAATTATCCCTTTTCGCGAGATAACGCGACAGCAGCCAGGAAGGACACGAACCGTACGAAACAAAATACAAACAACGTAAAAAAATAAAACATATCTGCACAAATGCAAAAACTGGTAGACAAAAATAAACCTCTTTGTTTTCGTTTCAATTGAAAATATTTTCACTTTTCCCCATCAACCGAACTAGCACACGTATACCTATTTTCGTCTAGTCTAATATTATTTTTTTTTTCTTTCCTGTTTGTTTATTTGTGCCCGTTTTATCGTGTTTATTGCAATTCTCGCAAATTGAATTTCAATTTTCTTTGTTACCATCGATCTGTAATGAATATTCTAGAGAATGTCCTATACATCCGTAAAGTGGTTCAATAAGTTTCAAGGCTTCATCGTCATAATAATAATAATGTTAACTGGGGCAGCTCAGGGTGGTTCATGCCTTCTCTGCTGGAATATTCAAATATTTAAACGTGAAACGTGAAAACAAACACCAACAACAACGTAATTCATGTGGCTTTTACCCACACCTTTAATATACTTAAAATACGGTTATTAACTCTGAAATTAGCGTAATTTATGTTTCAACTTGAAAATATTATATTATGATAACTATAATTTGTTTTTCTCTCTCTATTATTTCTCTTATATAATCGGACGTGTGTGTATATTATATTTTAATTAGAATAAGAGATTTGCTCGACGACACGTGAACTTGCGATTGTTATGGATGGGAAAACGCGAAACTGCGTGTTTCCTTAAGTGCATTTTTAAACAATTTTAATTAACTCAAGTTTTTCAGTTTATTTTCACAATTCTTAATTGCTTTTTTTTTTGCAAATCGATTAAATTGATGACAAACATCAAAAGTATTCCATGTTCATTGATATATATTAAGTTTGAATTAAAGTAACAGTGAATGCAATAAGATTCTATTATTGTATTTATTACTGTTAGGTAAAATGCGTTTCATTTCTCTCCATTCTTGGCAATATTCGCGTTTGATGCAGCTTCTTCTGCTCTTAGTGAGAGAGAACAAAGCAACTTGAGAAGTTATAATTTAATTTGGTCTTTCAAATTCGAAGGATGCATGCGCGCCTCTCTTTTATGGAATAACTAATTTCAATTTCTGTCGGTCTTTGTGCCCGGTGCCAACGAAATAGAATATTACTTTTTTTTCGCAAGAAAACAGTTGAAAGAATTTTTTTTCTTCAAAGATGAAATTTATTAGTTTGTTTGTGATTTCATCGATTTTAAGCTTTTGTAAAATGATAGAATTATTGGCGCTTTTGAACTCTATTGCGTAGTGTAAGTTAATCTTAAAAAAAAATTGAGAAATGTTAGTTTTAAAGATCATACAATTTTTTAAAAAAAAAAATGTATTTTTAAAACTAAGACGAATTATTCTAATAATGATTGTGATTTTTGTGTGTTTTCATAGTTGAAACTAAATTTGGTGAAATTTAATTGATATTGGAATGAAAGGAAGAAGGTACGGCCATTGAAATAGAATATTACTTTTTTTCGCAAGTTGAAACAGTTTTCAAGAATTTTTTTCTTCAAAGATGAAATTTATTAGTTTGTTTGTGATATCATCGATTTTAAGCTTTTGTAAAATGATAGAATTATTGGCGCTTTTGAACTCTATTGCGTAGTGTAAGTTTATCTTTTAAAAAAAAAATTGAGAAATGTTAGTTTTAAAGATCTTACATTTTTTTTTTCAAAAATTATTTTTAAAACTAAGACGAATTATTCTAATAATGATTGTGATTTTTGTGTATTTTCATAGTTGAAACTAAAATTGGGTGAAATTTAATTGATATTGGAATGAAAGTAAGAAGGTACGGCCATTGAAATAGAATATTACTTTTTTTCGCAAGTTGAAACAGTTTTCAAGAATTTTTTTCTTCAAAGATGAAATTTATTAGTTTGTTTGTGATATCATCGATTTTAAGCTTTTGTAAAATGATAGAATTATTGACGCTATTGAATTCTATTGCGTAGTGTAAGTTTATCTTTTAAAAAAAAAAATTGAGAAATGTTAGTTTTAAAGATCATACAATTATTTTTTTTTCAAAAATGTATTTTTAAAACTAAGACGAATTATTCTAATAATGATTGTGATTTTTGTGTATTTTCATAGTTGAATCTAAATTGGGTGAAATTTAATTGATATTGGAATGAAAGTAAGAAAGTACGGCCATTGAAATAGAATATTACTTTTTTTCGCAAGTTGAAACAGTTGAAAGATTTTTTTTCTTTAAAGATGAAATTTATTAGTTTGTTTGTGATATCATCGATTTTAAGATTTTCTAAAATGATAGAATTATTGACGCTATTGAATTCTATTGCGTAGTGTAAGTTTATCTTAAGAAAAAAAATTGAGAAATGTTAGTTTTAAAGATCATAATTTTTTTTTTTGAAAAATGTATTTTCAAAATTATTCAATGATTATGATAATAATGATTGTGATTTTTCTGTATTTTCATAGTTGAAATTAAAATTGGGTGAAATTTAATTGATATTGGAATGAAAGTAAGAAGGTACGGCCATTGAAATGAAAGTCTTAGGAAGCGAATGTGGTCATCGATGGTATGATTAGAATGCACGAGGATTCTTGTTGTTGTTAACGCATACATAACAAATAGATTTTTTTTTATATAACTATATGTTTCCATTACGAATGTGAAAATATTTGTTGCATTCTAAAATTTAATCTCCTTTACACAATACAATGCGAAACTTGAATTTAGTAAACTTTATAAAATGTGTTAATTACTCATTCAAGTGATTCATTGCGTTATCAATGTATAATCACTTGATTGCGTAATTAGTAATTATTGAGCTAAATAGTTTGTCAAAAATTGCCTGCATAATTTTGTAATTGTTAATAGAATAAAAAAAACTGTATTGTTCGTAACATGGGCTTATGTAGAAACAATTGAATTGTGGGTCTAAAAATAACATACTTAGTCATGTTACTGAGATTATCAAAAAATTAGACTAAAACTTAAATACGAGCGTGTGGTTAGATGATGCAGGTGAGGTCACCGAATCTGGGTTTCTCGTGCCACTAAAGCGATGACGCGTCTTTAACAATTACATAATTCATAAATCGCGGTTTATGGAACGGTAATTAAAAGTTTTTAATTTAAATTTTCAAATATCTTTATTGTTTTATTATCCTGATCGTCTCTACCGCTTTTTTGTTTAACATTCTTTCGTTTTGCGCATTTCGTGTGGAAACATGGAATGGACGAAGGTGGTGGTAGCAGCGGTGGCGGCGAAGGCGGTCGCTCGGGAAGTCCTTCCGCGCGTTCAGGACGCATTGAAAGTTCCGCCGCCGACGCGACAGAAACGCGCGCGTTCACATCAAAGCAACAGCTTTTTCTGCACCATCCAAGAAGAATTCGAAGATAGAAAGGAGGAAGTCTTTGGATTTATTTATTGTTTCCTATATCTTGAGAGAGTGATGGTTACCACGAGTCCTGAAACGGATTACCCGGTTTTGGGCAGCTTCTCCAGGTTCTTCGGATTCGCCAACACCGAATCCGAATGCGATGAAGACGGGTACGATTCATTTACACACATACACACACTGAAAGTTTACATAACATTACGAAACGCTCAGAGTTTGTGTTACAATTTTGAAGGCAGGTGTTGAACGCAAATTGGGCGCTAAATAAATTAACACACCTCGACGCGACGTGTTAACTAACCTTCGGTTAAATTTTAAATGAGTTTTAATCATTGGAAATAATTTGAGACTCGTGCGTGGAAAGCTGATGAAAATTTTAAAATAAAGAGGAAAAAAAAAATACGTACATGTAAGTCGTTATCTGATTTGCATGCTACTCAAATACAATGCGCCTTCAAATAACTTAATTTGTTTTCGTTCTTGTTTATTATGTTTCGTTTCCACGCAGCGTTTTTTTTTTATTATTTCGAATCACCTTTTGTGCACACACGGCGCGTTTTTCGCACCTGAACTTTATCATCCTCGTCGACGCTTCCTGTTTTTCCGTGACACATAAACCCGGTATCTCTTTCTCTCTGTTTGTGCGAAATAAAGTTATATCACGGAATTAATTCTGCTCAACTAGTTTCCATCGTTGAAACTGGATGGAAACACAAAGTAGTCATCCGAGTATATGGCAATCAATGTTCTCGACGAAACTTTGCAGATCTCGTCCGTTTCGCTAATTCATTCACTCGATTTACCCCCAAGCACAACCTTAATCTATGCAGAAATGGTGGCATTATATGTTCAATCATTTATTGCAAATGCAATAATCTTTTAAATCTTAATACCGCACAATGTGAATAATGCAATGGAAATTAAATTCCATTTAATACATTAAACTTATTTGTTATTTTCCAATGGTTTTGCTCGACTTTAAACAATGCGATTTAACAATGAGACGTAATCAATAATAGTTAATAAATGGTTTGTTCGATGAGTTTATTTCACTCCCATAGCTCCATTTAAATATGGTAATTGATGGGTTGAATAATGCATGTGCTCTCCTTCAAAACTATTCAAGGAGATGAAAAAAAAAAATCTTCAATTAACATTTTATTAGGATTAAATGAATTATTTGTATTATCTTTTTTTTTTAATATAGGTTTAAAGAGATTTCTTAACATCTGTTGCAAAGTCACAGCCTCAAACGACTTTCCTTTTCCGTTCTTAATTGCTGTAATAAATTTAATCTGTCAGATGCAAATATTTGCACTGCGAACTAAAAAAAATATATTTTTTAACTTTATTTTCTAGTTAAACTCTAGTAGCTTTAAAAAACACATAAATATGCATATTAAAGTTGAATAATTGTGGGTATGTTAGTTGATTTATTGTAACTAGTTTGCTGTGTGTAGTTTTCATGTAATTAATATATAAAGTTTATGAAAATTAAACAACTTTACTTTTCAGTTGATATCTAGAAAACGGATTTATATCTCAAGCCCGAAAACCGAAAGACCGTCTATTAAAATCCCGACTGTATCCACATGGGAAGTCCGGGTCTATATCGAAACCGAAAACCGCTAGAAATCCCGACTATCGAAATCCCGACGTTCGAAATCACTGTATTAAAGCCCCGACGCTTGAAATCCCGACTATATCAAATCCCGACTGTATTAAAGTCCCGACGCTTGAAATCCCGACTATATCTAAATCCCGACTGTATTAAAGTCCCGACGCTTGAAATCCCGACTGTATTAAAGTCCCGACGCTTGAAATCCCGACTATATCAAAATCCCGACTACCATAATCCCGACAATTAAATCCCGACTATATCGAAATCCCGACAACCATAAAAATGTTATAAATGTAGAAATTTATAATAATAAAAGACACTGCCGGGATTTCAATATAGTCGGGATTTTGATTGTCGGGACTTTTGATTGTCAGGAGTATGGTAGTCGGGATTTCGATATTGTCGGGATTTTGATTGTCGATACACTCGGGATTTCGAACGTCGGGATTTCGGTTGTCGGGTTTGCGATTTCCACCGCTAGAAATCTAATGGAGTTACGAATAAATTTAGTTTGTTTATTGAAGCTGAATAATTGAGTTATATCTTTCAGATTTGCATCCATAGATCAAAATTGTTTGATTCTTTATTTATTTAAAATATCGGCCACACGTGCATATATTTTCAACATTTCTCTAAAAATAATTCGGGTTTATAAATATGAGTTTATTATTTAAAGTATGGAGAAATAACAGTTTGCTTTCGACCATCTGAAGAAAGAAACGTTTTGGCCCGAAATCAAGGAAGCCCGTTTGCATGAAGATGCAACCTTCGTTAAATTCTTTTCGGGTCGTCCAAAATTAGACGTCTTCTATTTCGGAGGGAAACCTCTGCTTTTTCGGATCTTCCTTTCCACTTTACAAACATCACAAGTTTTAATTAATCAAATTTTTCAACATTTAAACATTCTATTTCAAATAATAATTGCATTCTTCATAACTATTATCTATTTTCTGATCAAATCTTCTGATTATACCAATAACTGCATGCTCTTCAATTTGGAATATATTTAAACTTGAAGTTAGAGATACTAATGTTTCTAAGCATACGCAGGTACAACTAAGATAGCGTGACTAATGGTGACATTCATTGCTTAAATTAATCACGTCATGACTAATCTTAATCCACCTTTTGACTTTCGTATATTTTCTAAAATAACTAATATAAAATCAGCTCTAAAAATTCACAGTTTAATTTTCTGATTGAGTATAAACATTTCTTTTATTTATTTGCTGCACGCTTCACCATTAGTAATTCATGAATTCGTTTTTAATTAAATTGCGGATAATAAGTTTGTTTCCATTTCTTTGTTCTATTTTACTCGTTATTATCTATTTTGTTACAAAAAAGTTGCGATCGCGTCACTTGTTAATCTGCTCGTTTTTCAGAAAAAATTATTTCCTATTATCATTCGTTTTGTGATCTTTTACGAAATTTCAGCGTTGATATCTTACTCTGTTTTTTTTCTTCGAATGATTAGAAAATTAAGATTTTAATGAATTTGGAATCGAATATCGTTAATTACTTTTTATTTTATGAATGAATGTCATCTTTTTAACCCTTTGAAGGGCTTGAAATTCAAAAATGTCTATGGACAACTTTGTCAACTGATTCAACATCAGATGGAATTGATTCAACATAAACATTTTCTACTGCCCTATCAAATGCATCCCTTTCTTGGACATTTTTTAGAAAATTATAATATGTAGTCAAAAGGTGGTACAATGCTTGTCCCATTGATTAGTTTTTGCTCACAAATATACACAATTTAGTACGTTTTTATATGTAACTGTTGATTTTTCATTTGTAGATATGAGCGATTGCTGAGGAGGGCGAAATCTGAGGATCTAACCGAGGTGTCCGGTATAGGATGCCTTTACCAGAGCGGCGTGGACCGGCTCGGACGACCGGTCGTGATCTTCGTGGGCAAATGGTTCCCCTTTAACAAAATCAACTTGGATAAGGTTCGTTTTGCCTACACGCAAAAGTGCGGATAGTTACGTAATGTATCTTTTTCTCAGGCTCTCCTCTACCTGATCACCCTGCTGGATCCAATCGTGAGAGGCGATTACGTGATCGCCTATTTCCACACGCTCACCTCCAACTCCAATTACCCGTCTTTCTCGTGGCTGAAAGAGGTCTACAACATTCTGCCCTACAAGTACAAAAAGAACCTGAAAGCCTTCTACATCATCCATCCCACATTTTGGACTAAGGTATGATCCATATCCATCCATCTAAAAACCCAATAATTACATAATCCTTTTGTAGATGATGACTTGGTGGTTCACTACCTTCATGGCTCCTGCGATCAAGCAGAAAGTGCACAGCTTGCCCGGCGTTGAATACCTGTACGCGGTGATGTCTCCCGATCAGCTGGAGATTCCAGCTTACATCACCGAGTACGACATGTCGGTAAGTTGAACTGAATCCAAGAAAAAGCAAAGTACTAAAAAAACTATTGTTATTTTTTTCCAGATAAACGGTCTCCGATATTTCCAGCCCAGCGCCCCGACATAAATCCCGACACAGAGAGAGAGAGATATTGTAACCTCACGCAACAATCCCCAAACAATCCCCACGAGAAGCGAACCTCTGATAGAAGGAAAACAAATCTGTGACCGAACTCAAAAATTCAGTGATAACATGCAATATATATATAATATTTAAATAATATATTTATTCGACCTAGTGCTAAGCAGTGCCAACCCGGATGAAAAAAAAAATAGTAACAATAAGATGAGTATCCCTAATCCTCCACGCAAATAACATAATACTCCCACATCTCTCTACAATTCCCAATAATCTCATTCTTTCACTCTCTCTATATATATATAAAAAAAAAGCGAATCCAATCTCTCTTTCTCTCAGTGTGTTTAATGTTACTCTATAGAAGACCCTTGAGCACGAGGAGACGTCACAGATGATGAAGAAGAAAGATACTCGTTGGCATTAGCTTTGCATTTTTTTTGTTTGTTTGTTTTTTTGGAAGGAAACCAGTATTAATTGCATATCTAATTTTTGTGTTTCCAAACTCTTCGTCGTTGAGGCAAAAAGAAAAAGAAAAACAAAAGAAGGAGGAAATCAACTTTTCTTAGCGTGTAGCTTTAAATTGCTTAAGAGATAATCCGCGTAGGGAAGAAAAAGAAGAAGATGAAGATGAAGTCGAAGGCGCTTTGTTACGTAATGATAAATGATGAATTAATTAATCTTTTAGAGATCTCAGTTTCGAAGAATCGCGTTGCGTTCCATGATCCCATGTATTCATCTATTTTTCCATTCTATACTTTGTCTCTCACCCATCTTTTCTTTTCTATTTTTTTGATACCCGACTAATAATGATAATTGTTGACGATTTTTCCCCGAGGAGCAATATTAAGTGTACCCTTATACAATATATATAAATATATACAAAAAAAATATTATATAATAAAATAACAATTTATGATAAAGTTGAAAAGAGTTAACACACAAAAACACACAATTATAATCTCAGAGAAACCAATTGTTGTTGATATATAAATATATATATATATGTTCATTAATATTATGATGAGAGAGGAGGTGCGACGTTAAAGTATGTGAAATATATATATAAAAAAATTAATAAAAAAAAAGAGAAAGAATTATTACTGATGCGGGTTAATTATATGATATATGAAGAAAATTATAAAAGTGAGTGAAAAGTTGTTGTTACTACTACTACTACTGCATGCGAAAATTGATTTTGTTTTTTGTAAACTGTGAAAAGTTTATAGGAAAATGAAATAAAAATGAATTGCGAAAAGAAAAATTTTCAACCCAAAAAAAGAAATTATTATGAACAAACAGAACACGTTTTAGCTTATTTATTTTGATGTCCTTTTGATTCCTACCACCCTCATTTTTCAGATCCAGTCGTCGATGGAACAAATTAAAATAAGTAATATTGCTTTGCCGCTGCACGAGATGCCTTATTAAAGGTAATAATCACATTTTTTTATACGGTTTGATAGTAAATTGGGATATCGGCAATAGCTACAAATATGATAGATTTTACGTTTCATTAAAAACTGAAGACATTGAAATTGTCAAAAAAACTATAATAGATAGAATGAATCCAATATATGCATATGAAAGCTGAATGTTTGGGGAATCTAGCAAGTATCGATATATTACTGTGCTCTTATCCATATTGCTGTAATACGCGTTCAAAGTTGAAAAATTGAAATAAGAACATTTCATTGATTTTCTCGAAAACTATAAAACATAGAGTGAATCCAATAGATGCATATGAAAACTGAATATTTGGGGAAT